GTGTGTGTGTGTGTGTGTGTGTGTGTGTGTGTGTGTGTGTGTGCGAGAGAGGAAAAATGAAGCACAATGAAGTATTTATGGAAAATACTGGAAGTCAGAGGGGGAACGAGCCGAGCCTTCCAAAGTGCTTTTTCACAGTTTAGAGTTCTGCTGTGAGCTGAACCATCCAGACTCAACATCAGCTGAACTAAAGGAGCTGCTGATGGACTTAAGGTGATGCAGGACTCCTACATCTCTTTTCTCCTTTAGGGCACAGAGACAAATACCTGGGGTCCTACGTGGACAGGAATCTCTGCTGCTGTCTCTGCAGAGAGGGCCAGAGTCGCCTCCTCCTCCTGAAGACGTTCCTTCAGAGTACGTCTGCAGATATTTTATGAATCTGTTGCTGATAAAACATCAGAACTTGGCTTGGATCGAATCTGGATCGAGATCATCTGCGTGCGGTCCCTCGCAGCGTGTCCTTTGGTTCCCGAGGCCATCCAGTTTCCTCAGCTTTTTTGCTGCAGTTGTATAATTTTACAACTTCCACAGTCCCGAGCAGCTGTTATGATAGGAAATCTCCTGCAGGGATTAATAAAGTTTTTCCTTCTGAGTGCGATCTAGCCCGTGTACCACCAGGACAATAGTCAAAGCATGAGTTTAAACAGCTGGAGAAACCTTTGCTGCAGCAGCGACAGTGCAGGCAGTCAGTAAAACCCACAGGACAGGAACAAACTCTAATTCCTCTGACAATGTTATTTATGCCTGGTCAACCAGAATTAACATTTCTGACATGCCTCTGCAGGTTTCATTTCAGCCTGCCTCCCAGGCTGAGTGCTGGCTCACAGCGGAGCTGGCAGAGGACAACGCTGTGAGGGTCGTACCCACATACATGGGTCTGCTGTGTGTGTCTTGGACTCCTGCGCTGAACTGGATCTCGGGATTCTCTCGCATTTCTCTTCGTGCCTCCTCCAAAGAGACAGACTGAACAGCTCGAGAGGAATTAGACACGTTAACGCTCAGCTAATAGGATAAAACAGCCTTTTGTTGTCGGGCTCGGCCGGCTAACCGCCATCACGGACCTCCAACAGTAATAACATCGGCATGAGGAGAATCTGTCCAGCCAAGGCTTTTTTGGCCCGGGTGGCCAGCAGGGCCCATTGTGCCTGCATAGTTCAGTATCAGCAAGCTGTGTCCACTGACAACTCAGATGACCTCGCCATCCACGGCGCATTTCTCAGTTTCCCAGTTTGAAGGTTCAAAGTGGCACTGGCAGATGCGATGA